GTAATAAATTCTAATTTATAAAACAATCATTTATAATCTATAGCATAATAATTTCTAACTTTTAACATAGTAGCATAAACATTACTTCATAAGATAATCAATTTTAATCTAAAAGACAATATTTTTAACTTCTAACAAAATAGTAATAAATTCTAAATTATAAAACAATCATTTCTAATATATACCATAAAAATTTCTAACTTCTAACATAGTAGTACTAAATATTACTTCATAAGAAAAATAATTCTAATCTGTAATACGATAATTTCTAACTTCTAACAAAATAGTAATAAATTCTAAGTTATAAAACAATCAATTCTAATCTATACAATAATAATTTGTAACTTCTAACATAGTAGTACTAAATATTACTTCATAACAAAATTAGTTCTAATCTGTAATACAATAATTTCTAACTTCTAAAAAATAGTAATAATTTCTAATTTATAAAACAATCAATTCTAATCTATACCATAATAATTTGTAACTTCTAACATAGTAGTTGTTGATGTCTTTCTTAGTAATCGCGATAATGAGGCCATAAGCTACTGATTCAACCTTAATAATAGCTTGACACACCTAAGTAAGCAGACCTCGGACTTAACGGAGTAATAACCGACGTCGTTTTTTGGCTACAAAACAACAAAACAATCAATTTTCTGCTACAACCGAGGTCGTCCCAATATCCGAAGTCTTTTCGACCAACCGAGGTCTAATAAAGTTGACTTTCAACGTACTACGAGGCGGCGATGAGTCATTCAGTCATCATTACTGTTGTCCACCTGGCAGACAACCGCCCCTGGAAAGTTACTTTACATTAAATACAGTCAGACCTACCTCGTATGATGGGTCAACGGCTCTATAAATAGCGGAATTAGTTATTAAAAAAAGGAACTTTTTTCCTCTAAGATTTGCTAGAGATACACGAAAAATTTCAATAAAAATAACGTCGTTTATTCATTCAACCGACGTCTTGTATGATCAATATTTCAAGCAATAATACAATTATTCTATACTTCTACTGCATTGTCGTATGATCATCGTTGTTATTTGTCACATAACAACAGTAGTACTAAAATATTACTTCATAAGAAAATCAATTCTAATCTGTAATACAATAATTTATAACTTCTAACAAAATAGTAGTAAATTCTAATTTATAAGACAATCAATTCTAATCTATATCATAATAATTTCTAACTTCTAACTAGTAGTACTAAATATTGCTTCATAAGAAAAATCAATTCTAATATGTAATACAATAATTTCTAACTTCTAACATATATAAGGCAATCAATTCTAATCTATACCATAATAATTTCTAACTTCTAACATAGTAGTACTAAATATTACTTCATAAGACAATCAATTCTAATTTATACCATAATAATTTATAACTTCTAACATAATAGTAATAAATTCTAATTTATAAAATATTCAATTCTAATATATAACATAATAATTTATACTAATGTATTTTTCTTCAAACTACCATCATTTCTAATTTATACTAATTATACTAATATAATTTTTATACTAATATTAATGTATATACTAATATAATTTAAATTTAAAAATTAAAAAAAAAAATATTGTGGGCGGCCGGTCAAACCAGCCGAACTGGAGCTGGTCGACAGTCGACCAAGGTCGGTCAGGGTCCGGTCGGCCGGACTTCGGCTAGGTAAGACCTGGTCGGCCGCCTAAGGGCGGCCAACATTGGCCTAGCCAAAAAAGTCAAGCCGGCCAGACCATGACCGGCTGCGGTCGCCGGCCGGCCGCCGCAATACTCCTCTTGTTAGACGGAAATTTTTCTCCGGAATTATTCGGAGGTATTTTCGGAACGTTTTGGAGCTCAGTCCGGCCGGTAAGTAGGTCCGAAGGGTGGACTTTTGTTTAAAAAAAAAAAA